AAGTTAATCATAAACCAGGAAAAAAAATCCAACACTGTTTCATAAAACAACAAACCCAGAAACCAACAACGTAAAATTTACAATAACCAGCTCTAATTTAAAAAATACTTCTTTTTTTTGTCTTTTTGAGACAGGATCTCGCTATGCAGTTGAGGCTGGCCTTGAGCTCACTATGTAACCCAGGCTGGTCTCAAACTCGCAACGATCCTCCTGCGTCAGCCTCCTGAGTGCTGGGATTATAAACATGCGCTACCACACCCAGCTAAAAAAATACTTTTGGAAAGTAAAAAAATTGGATAATAAAACTTGTAAGAGAAAAACAGAGCCAGAAATAGCAGAGATAGAAACCAAAAGAAAAGTTTGTTAAACACTACCAAACAATGTTCTAGATATTCAAGATGGCACAAAAAATCCCAAAAAATATCACGAGGAAACAAATGGAAGATATATTTGTAGAAATAACAGCTGAAATACTTCCCAATTTAATATAAACTGTAAACCCAAAGATCTAAAAAACCTTGACAAACTCCAATCCTTGTGCACAAGGAAAATTTGTTAGGAATCACAAGCAATTTGCTGAAAAGCTGTAAAAGGCAACAAATGCAGTCAGGAAACAAAACAGAAAAGACACTCTAAAGAAATGAAGAATGGTACCAGACATGACCAGAAAGAAATGACAAAACACAGACAGCAATAGGGAGAGGTCACTGACAGAATAGTTATCAACCTAAATTTTTTTTATCCAGAAGTATTACACTAAATTGAAAGCAAAAATAAAAGCTTTGCGAATTCATCACAAAAGATCTGTTTTACAAAAAATGTTAAAGATTTTAAGCAAAAAGAAATGTTATCACACAGAAATCCAGATCTACACAAGATTAAGAGCATAGAAATGGTATCTACGTGTGCAACTATAACAGACATATTTGCCTATTTAAAACTGAAATGATAATAATATATGATGAGATTTACAGTGTAAGTAAAACGTATGGTAACAATGGTATTAAGTACAGAAGGGCAAAATAAAGGACACTGTTGTAAGGTTCTCATATTACACATGAAGCGGTATAACATTTAAAGATAAAGCTAACATGCTTCCCACTGGACTGTATGTAATTCCTAATAGCCTGAACCATTCGTGGTACATGCGTGCATGACCCATTGGGTGGCTTGTACCCACTTCGGCAGGGGCTGGGGTGGGGGTGGTGTCTTTGGTTACAACAATGCAAAGGAAGGCATTGATTTAGCAGCCTAGATGTCACATTACAGTTCCTTAAGGAAAATATTAAAATGGTATTAAAAATTATTATACGTATAGCTAATTTGTAATACAGCATATTTATAGACTAGCAATGGGGCACTTGCAGATTTCCATGTTAAAATTTACAGAATTACTGATAAATTATTTTAAAATAAATTGCTTTACATTTAATGAAATAAATCTGATTACTGTAATGATTTTGTTAATTGATAATGTACAGTATTAATATTTATATTTGGGCAGTAATTATTTTGTTTTGTTTTGTTTTGTTTTGTTTTCTGGTACCAGAAATCGAACTCACGACCTCGCGCTTGCCAGGCAGGCACTGTGCTGCTGAGCTAAATCCCCAGCCCCTGAGCAGGAATTATTCAAATTCAAGCAACTAACTAGATTCAGTTCATTTACAGACTTTTTATTAATTTTGCTCGTAAAAAGACCAACACAAGGACCAGCTTCCTGATGGAAGTCCGCGTGCACCCCAGGCAGAATGTGTTAGAAGTGGAAGGAAGAAAAAACCCCACACAGGGTTTGATCAAAAGAAAGCTGGAATGACTATGTATTTGTATCCATCCAAGCAGACTTCAGAACAGGGAACATACCACAGATAAAGACAGACACTTCATATAATGTGAAAGGGTCAGTTCACCCAAAAGACACGCTCCTAAGTACTTCCAAACCTTGTAACAGAATTTCAAAGTATGTGAAAGTGAAAGCCAAAAAAAATAGCAATGACACAGAAAATACTTAGAGCTGGGGTTTTAACATTCCTGATAAACCAGAAGACAGAAATCAGTAAGAAGACTCGAATAGCACCACCAACCAACCTGACCTAACTAACATCTAAAGAACAAACACTCCACTGAGCAAAATATTTACTGTATATAAGTGCATATCAAACATTCATCACAGGAGGTCACATTCTGGACTATAAATTAAAGAGACTGAAATTATACAAGGTGTCTTCTCTGACCACAATATACTTAAACTAGGTACCCATAAAGGTGAGACTACCTGGAAAATCCCAAACACCTGGAAAATAACACTTCTGAATAACCATGGATCAAAAAAAAAAAACCAAAACAAAACAAACAAACAACAACAAAAAAAAAACACAAAGGAAACTGGAAAATACTTTTAACTGAATAAAAATGAAAACTAACATTTCAAAACTTGTGATATAATTAGACAAAGCCAAAAGTCATTAAATTCATCTTTGAGCTTATTTAAACTCTGGTAAGTAAGTAACAATAAAATACAGATCGTTTTGGGCTGGAGATTTAGCTCAGTGGCACAGCGCCTGCCTGGCAAGCACGAGGTCGTGAGTTCAATTCCCGGTACCGGAAAAAAAAACCAAAACCAACAAACAAACAGAAAATACAGATGGTTTTATACATCATTACATACGAGGGATTAATGCACCTATACTTACAGTTACTGTACTCTCGAAAAGCAAAGAACTATGCTGGCTGTTACACACAGCCTCTCAATCTACCAAGAAAACGAAGGCCTCACCCAAACCCCAAAGCCGTGGCGAGTCCTGATCAGGGCTGCGAGGTGAAGGACAGGAGGGTGGGGAGGCTGCGTGGAGGCAGCAGCACGGGTCAGACACGCTGTGCGAGTGCGAACGGTTCCAGGCAAGGGTGCGGCAGCCCAAAGGCAGGAAACGGGGGCGACAGGCCGCAGTGGACTCCGAGCAACAGGACTCGGATGTCACACCGCAAGTGACGTGAAAGCCTGCAGATGGGACTGGAAGTGAGGTCTGGAGCAAACCACAGCCTGGACTTCAGCGTCAGGGGCTCTTGGTCTTGATGCCTGACCTACTGCTGTCTATTAACAGTGTGACCACCTCAAATTCTCCACTTCTCCTCTGTGGAGGAGACAGAACCATTCCTGGCCGCCTCCGAGAGCTGTTGTGAAGGCAACCATACCGTATCCGTCCCAAGTAGAATAATATACAGGTACCAGGAAGGGACTGAAGGCTTTGGGGAGCACGATGGACCTGGAGGAAGAATGACACCCAACGGATGTGGGTGCTGGACGAGAAGTAAAAGAATGTGGAAATAAGGCGAACTTAAGAGGGCAGGTTAGAAGTAACCAGGGCCCCACCTGTGCTGGAGGCGCTAGAAGAGAGAGGCCAAAGGAGTCCTGTGAGATGGGCCACAGCAGCTGGCCCAAGGCGCGCTGAAGACAGGGAGGAGTCAACGGGAAAAGCACGGTGGACAGCTAGGAGAATCCCCACTCCCAAACAACAAGTCAGAACACAGCTGACGTGGGTACGGAAAATACACTTCTACACAGACTGCTACTCATATTATAAATAGCGTTTGATTTTTTGGGAGGTGTTGGGGGGAACCCTCAAACACTAAACCATTAAATCCTAGAAACTAGTATCTGTTCTAAAAGCATGTAGCACCTAACTTCTCTATATACTTATGCAAATGCCATTTAGTAAAACACTGTAACTAAATTTCACCTAATTCTAATATTAATACCTTTTCAAGCATGTTGTGATTTTATTAGAAAGTTGTAATAATGCACAAATGAATGTGTCATAGAGAACTACTAATGTGTTACTGCAGATACAACAGAATTGTTGTAATAATAAATAATAAGTTACAACAAATTACAGTAAATTACAATAGATTGTTGTAATAATAAATAAATCTTTGGTGCTAAACAGGCAGAGCCAGAGAGAATAGAAAGTGAAAAATGTCAGCACAGTGGTAGGTAAAGAAGAAAGAATCATTCTTAAGTTCTAGGCTTAAAAAAAAAAAAAAAACATTTAAAAATGTAATCAAAGCCAGGGATATAGCTCAGTGGTACAAGTGTCTGCCTGGCAAGTGCAAGGCCTTGAGTTCGATTCCTGGTCCAAAAAATAAATAAACAAACAAACAAACAAACATTTTTTAAAAAATGTAATCAATCAGGAAAGCCTAGCCACCTAAACCCATTAAACACACAGACATATAATAAAACAATATTCTAAAATAAAACAGCAGCTGGGCATGGTGGCCCACACCTGTAATCCCAGCACTCGGGAGGCTGAGGCAGGAAGATCATTGCGAGTTCGAGACCAGCCTGGGCTACAAAGTGAGCTCAAGGCCAGCCTGAACTGCATAGCGAGACCCTGTCTCGGAAAGACCAAAAATAAAATAAAATAAAATAAAATAAAATAGCGATATAAGGGCTGTTGATCGTGTCTAATGAATACAGTGGCAATCAGTGCTTTGGAACTCACTGCTGATGGTGACCATGCTACACTGTAACTTTTGTTTGACCCCCGCTAAAGAACCACTATCACACTTGATATGAGACAAACAGGAAATTAGCTTAATTTGATATTCACATAATTTCCAAATACGATCATACTATCCCAAAGTGAAACTGGATTAGATGATTACTTTATTCTAGTACCTTGAGGGATGAACGGTTGTTTTTCTATGAAAAGGGAAAGCTTTTTCAAGTTTATCTATGAAACTTTAAATTAGTGTTGATCATATACCCATATATAAGCTATTGCAATCACATGAGCTAGTGAAGGTCTGCCACTGTAATTTTTTGCTAACATACAAATTTTTGCCAAGACTGTTTTAAAATCATGCATGTATAAAGGAATACTAACCAGCACCCTGGGAGTAACTTTCAGGTTATTTGCTGTGGCATGTAGAAACACATTTCAAAGGGCCATGGGAAGGGAGCAAGGAGATGGAAACCCCTGGACAGGCTCCAGGGAACTCACCCGTGCAAAGTCAAATGCGTATCTATAAATAAGCTTAAAGTTTGTAGAATCATTTAATAATGATCTCAAGCAATCCAAAGAATTTCTGAGTTTTTCTGTTGTGTCACATCTGGGAAAACAGAATAGAGGCAGATTATAACCTGAGGTTTTGTTATTTTTTAAAGCTGTGTAGTAATATAAACCAAAAGAAAGAATATAAACCGTAAAGTTGGACTATATCTATGACAAGGTATCTTTTCCTATACTTTTTTATAAATTTCAAATGCAAAGGAAAGTTGAATAGCGAATAAACGCCCATTTACCTATTCCCTGGCTTCAGCAATGAACACGTTTTTCTACACCATCTGAAGGCTGCAAACACGACACTTTCCCCCAGTACTTCAAAAGTGCCGCCACTCTGAGTAGTCTATCAGTGCTAACCCTCTTAGCTAACACCCAGGGCAGATGCACATTTCCTAACTGATCTCTAATTTCCTGTACAGCCGCTGTCATTTTTTTAAAAGACCAGTTGTTTTTGTAGCATGTCAAACTGTTGAATAATTCTCTCAAGATTACGTGTAGACGTAACGCTTCTGACAAGAATACTACACGTGATGCCGTGTCCTCTCCCAGGCACCAAGGAGGAGGCTCCTCCTGTCATTCTTCTCATTACTGCAGATGTAAGCGGTGATCAAAATATGGCACTTAAAGTTTTAAATTTACAGCCAAAGCCACACTGCCATAAGTTCCCCTACAATTCTCCCCATCACTTCAAACACACTTACCCCATTATTCCTGCTACTTTCTGAAGCACTTCTGGAAGTTCTCTTTTGTCTTTATGAGGGATGATTAAAAACACCATGGATGCTGCAGACGAGTGCCATCCAATGGAAAGGCAGGCTCGTAAAAGCATGGTGTGTGCTCATCCACCTCACTCACCAGATGTGGCACGGCACAACTTCTGGCTCTTCCCCAGAGTCAAATCACCATGCAAGGCAAACGTGCTGAGCTGACTCAGGACACTGGAGCACCCGTGACAGCACAACTAAAGACGCTCATCAGAGGGGACTTCCACAGCTGCTTCAGGAAATGGCAAGAGCAAAGGGGAATGCACGTTCAAAGCAAGGGGAGCATTTTTACTGGCGAGGTGCCTTTTACTATGACACATTTTTAAAAACTAACATTCACTACATTTTTGGTCACACTGCATATCAAGTTGAATCATATGGTTATGGTGGGGTCCACCGGATTCCCCGTTCAAATGTGCCTTCCTTCTTGGGAACTAGTGAGTAACTTCTGGGATGGGACCTTGAAACCGAATATCCCATTCCTCAGAAGCACTTTGATCAATGTGTACTGTAAAATTTTTAAACTTATTTTCCTGATGTTTTAACATCCCCAGCAATATGCTGTGAACAGTCTAACAGACAAATTGATAAATCTGGTGTGTGATAATCGGGTCCCCTGCCACCGACACCCCCTCTTGCTCTGCGACCCAGCGACATTCAGATGTGCCAACAAAATCCCCTCATCTTGTGTTCTTCTGTGCCCACAACGCGGGCACTTGCCTGCCCTAAGCATGCCTCCCAAACGCTCCTCTTGCAGTGCCCTGCCTCCCCACTACAGGACCTGTGGGTGTCACGAAACTTTCTGTCTCGTGTCAAGTGCCTCTCCCGCTGCAATTTCTGCAGCAGTGTTGGAATCATCCTGAAAGACCCCATTTGCAACACACAATGATTTCTGTCATCCACTGTCGATACCTGCCTGAACCATTCTTTCTATCTTATTAGTCATACTTGTTAATAAAGAGCCGCATGCACCACCTTTTCTTCTTTTCTGGACTTGGAACTTTTTCTTTCAACTCAGTGCATTAGAATCTGTTACCGCCTTCATTCTTTTTGAAGCACAACCTACCCCAAGTTGGGGGGCAGGCCCTTAAGCTGGCTCCAGTGTTCTTACGACCTGTCTCCACCAGCCTCCTCCTTGTTTTCTGGTACAACACATCCCAGCTCACCTAGCTTGTTCCCAGCCCCAGCCTTAAAACTGTCCATTCTTCCAGGGAGGCCAGGTGATGGTAACTTTTATCAGTTAAGTAACACAAATACTGAAATATTACTTTTCATAAGGAAGGAGACTGTTTATTTTTACACATTAACTGTCACTATTTTCACTAGCACATTAAAGCTTTTCAGTGCTGATTAGGGCCACTTGTGTTTTTCTGCAGAGCTTTTATCTGATCGTAAGAATAGGTAATACACTTAGGAAGTATTACCAAGTAAGTATTCCGGCTAGTTTTTAAACTGAAATACGGTTTGTAATAGAGTACAGTGACTTATTCTTAGTAAACCTGTGAAAGCTCCTTTTTTGTAGCTAAGCACAAGTTAGTCCTCATGATCTCTATATTGAGATGACAGATTACCTAAAAGCCAAAATTAGAGCACATATTTAATATCTATGGGACAAAATAATTTAGAATGTCATTTATTTTTTCCTGATGTTCAAAAAGATTAAAACTAGACTATCTTAGAAGTCAAAAAAGGCTTCTTCAAGGAACTGACACATAAGCACAGAGCTGAAAGAGATGCAGGAACCAGGCGTTTCTGGAAAGGTGGGACGGGCTCTCCAGAGATCACGAGCGGCATGTGCAAAGGCCTAGGGGCAGAGTTGAGCACAGTAAGTCCAAAAGACTAAAGGAAAACCACTGTGGCTGGAGTGCACAGATTAGGAGTTAAAGTGGTACAAACAGGCTGAGAGGCAGGTAGGGTCAGATCATAAAGGGTTTCTGTGGTCCACTGTGAAGGTTTTTATTGAGTCCTACAAACAAGGGAGGTTTTATCTCCCACCGTGGGAGACGATCAAGCCTCTGTCTTAGAAGGCTTACTCTGGATCTCTGTGGAGGCAAACTGAGGGGTGGAAAAGAGACCCTGAGAGCCTAATTAGAAACCTGGTGCCAGAACTCGAGCAAGATGCAACGAAGACAGAAAAAACACAGGCGAAAGCACTCACTGGCACAAACCTGGAGGCAGGAGTGGCAGCAAGGCTGACTCTGCACTGGGTGCCTGCCCACGGAACTGGGTGTTTTTAACGGTGAGTGGGGGTGAATTATCACCGACTGAGGAACAACGGGGAAAGGTGAAAGAGGAGGGCAACCAGCCAACTCCAAAACATGGAAGGCCCGCGGCCCTGCTCTTCACTAGAAAGGAGGGTCAAGGATGAAAGTCACCGGAAACTTGCCACATTTGGCAGGCCAGTGGTCTTTAGTGCTGTGCAACGAGAGAAGAGCCTGCTTCCAGCGGTTCTGAACAAAGAACCTCTCATTTAGCTAATTACGACAGAGCTAAAAAACAAAAATGAGCTGCGGTCTTGGGCAAAGCTGCCGGGTGAAACAAGAAGTTCTGCAGCAAGTCTGGTAGCAACCCTCCACTCTGGCAGGGAGAGGTTCCTACACTCAAAGGTTCTCAGTGCTCCTGTCTATGCAGTGCAAGAGATGAACAGGTCTTGTGCTTGAACGTAAGATGCACAGAATAGTATCTGCACTTGAGGGGCCCGGTAAGGACAGTTACTTGGGTCAGAGTGCACAGGGTCAGTAGAGTTTAACTGCCTATGCAGCCTCTGGACTCAGCCCATGAGGGACAGGCCTCAAGTCACCTTGTCCAGAACTGCAGGATGCCATCTAGTGGCCACTCGGCAAGGACACCGTGAAAGGGGCTACACTCTGGCAAAGCGCCTATGAATAAACAGGCTTGAGAAACTTAAGGACAGCCTGAGGCTTTCTACAAAATTGCATCTTCAAACCGTTTCCCGTGCTCTGCTCTCTACTATGTTGAATAACAGCCACAGGAGTGACAGGGCTATTCTTCCAAAGAGCACCATTTTTAAAACCAAAATATGTATACAGCATGAGGTCATTTCTCATTTGAGTTTGCTGCAACAGGCTCACAAGGAACGGGAATCGGCACAATGCTAAAACCAGAGGCAGCTCTTCCCCTTTCCCAGGGAGAGTCTCCACCCCTTCACTCGGCCTGAGGGTGTTCTCTCGCTTCTCATCAGCTCTGCACAGAGCAGAAGACAGTTCTAAGACTTCTTGGTGGTTGTTTTTCTTTTGGTTTAAGCTCCTTACCAGCTTAATTCATCAGAGGTAATCTTAAACCTGCAAGCAGGGACAGGCAGTAAGGGTCTGTCCAGTACGCACTGCGCCTTCTCAGTGTGAGAAGGACGTGGGGAGCCAGTGGGGAATGCTCCCACCCAGTCCTCTGAGCCCCAGCACCAGCACCACCTGCTCCAGATGACCGGCTCTTGGGGGGGTCACACTCACAATTCCTCCCGACAGGGTCAAGGGCGCTATTCTGAGCGCTAAGGTAATTCCCATGTCCTCATTTCACCATACAGGTTTGCCAATGTCATCAGAAACATCCAGAGAGTGACAGAACCAGTGTGAAACTCTGGTTCCAGCCAGGCATGCTGGTATATTCCTGTAATCTCAGCACTCTGGGAGGCTGAAGCAGGAAGATCAAGGTTCAAGCCCATTCTGGGCAATTTAGCAAGACCCTGATTCAAAGAGCTGGAGTGTAGCTCAACCCTGGGGTTCAATCCTTAGTAATGCGAGCAGCTCTGGTTCCAAAACCCATCCCCTATTTCTAGCATACCTCCACTGTACAGTAACAACCTTTATTATTGGTAGAACATGTACATAACAGATCTGAATTCTTTTATATCCCCAAACTTTTTTAAACCTAGCATTTTACCCAAATGTACTGCTATGGTTTGAATCACTGGTTCATGTGCTGAAATCCTAACACCCACGGTGACCAAGTTAAGCAGTGGGGCTTTTTGGAGGTGACAGGACTGAGCCCTTGTGAATGGGAATCATCTCGTTATAGAAGAGGCCCAAGGAAACTTATTTGTCCCTGATTGCTTTCTTGCCCCGCTGTAATTCCTGCTGAGTTGCTATGGCACCCAGCCAATATGGCGCTGGAGGTCATGTGGTATGGTGCAGAGTCACTATGGCGTCCAGTCAATATGGCGCTGCCCACTAGAGGCCATGGCTAAGCCCTACCCTTTTTCTGCTGAGTCAAATTACGACTTCCCACTTCCCTTTTTGTAATATCCTGTTCCCTTTTCCCATGCTCCCACCCAATCCTGGTCTGCCAAGTCAGGCGGTCCGCTTCCTAAACCCCGCCTCCAGCCTGGGGCTATTTAACCTTGGACCCCACAAAAGATCCTTAGAAGCTCCATGTTTTTTCTCTCTCTTTCTTTCTGGTGTTCTCCACGTCTACAATAAAGGCATTTTATTCTGTTTTACTTCTCTCTGCGCTGGAAAAACCTATCAGACCCCTCCACCTGGGAGGGCACAGCTCGAATGCACCATTATTTTATGAACCAAAAAGTAGGCCTTCCTTATTAAGACTTCCCAGCCTCCAGAACTGTGAGCACTAAAATTTTATTTATAAGCCCGTCTAATGCATTTTGTTATAGCAATCCAAATGGATTAAGACATATACTAGTATATATAAGTACAAGACATCCTATAAATATTCATTCCAGTTTCCTTCCAAAAGATCTTACTGGATAGCTTAACAAAATGAAAATGAACAAAAACAGGATACAATTTTAGAATGAAAGATATCTTAATCACTTTCCTTGTCACTGTGATACAACACCGGACACCCACAACTTAAAGGAGAGGTTTACTTTGGCTCATGGTTCAGTTCCCTTGTCAGCTGGCTCTAGGACAGAAATGGCATGAGAAAGATGCTTACACCACGGTGGCTGGGAAGCGGAGAGAGAAAGGAGAAACCAGCAAGGGAGACGCACCCTTCCAGGTCACTCCCCTGTGACGCCCCTCTTCTGACTAGACCCATCTTCTAACAGCAAGTCAGCTACAGCACCCCAGAACCCAGTCACCTTCCAAACACAGGAGGCTCTGCGACCATTTTAGATTTACACCATAAAATTTAAAAAAACTGGACCACTTTCCACTTCAGTGCATATAAATAACTACCCTAAGTTTTCCTGTGTACTTGATACACATACCTTACAAACACAGGAATTATTAGTCTTGAATTAGTATAAAGAATGGTGACATGATTACTTTTGGGTCTTGCTTCTAAGCTCTCACCCCTACCCCTCATAGACTTTGTCTTGTTCACAGGGTTTTTCCCCAGGGCCTAAAATACTGCACTTGGCCTCCTATTCTTGGGCCAATATGCTGAACAAATGACTCACCTGGGAAGGCTGAAAGGAGGTTCTTAAATCCTGAAGTTGTACTAGGTTTGAACTACAAAGAACTTTAAAGGTCACTGTGAATAATTATCTCCACCTTGCTGATAAGGAAACAAAGCGTTTCACATCACAAAAAGCAAGCAGATTCCTCCTCGCCTTCACAGTAGGTGGGGCCTATCACAGAGCCCTGAATTACAGAGACCGGGATGCCGGGCTGCAGCAGCGGGAGAACCAAGCTGCCACCACTTCCAGCACACAGCCTAACCGCGCTGCTCAACGAAGAGCCCCAAAGTGGCCGGGCCCCTCAGAACAAAGACAGACCTCTTCCAGGAAATGACTCCCTCATTCCCAGGGTATGAGGCCTTCAAAACAGATGGGCAAGGCCTGGTAAGACTCTTTTCTAAAGATAAATGTAAAAACGGATACCATACCCTTTTGAAACAAATGAAAACGGGCCTGCAAATGCTGACGGTGCGACCTCTGAAGCCCGGCGGTGAAGCCCTGATGCGGCCCTGCCGCCGTCCTCTGTCCTTCAGAAGAGCAGCCCTCAGAGGGCTGCGAGGAAAATAACGAGCAAGTCGGCAGGCTCCCAACTACGGGGCGCTGTTCTCCAAATACCATTACAGAGTGATTTCAGAGAACTTACAGTGAAAGTCGAGAGCATGCTGACAGGAAAGTGTATGTGGAAAAGGATGGTTTGGGCTTTACATAAAATTCATTTTCTGTCAGACACTACTGTTAGAGGGAAAATGTTAACTTAACCAGAAATCTTGGGCTTCCTTTCAGTCTTTGCCAGTTAGTTCCTCTAAGCCTCAGTTTCCCCACCTGTCAGGCTTCCAGGGTGAAGTCTGACTGTTCTTTCACAAGGCAGCCTTGAGGCTTAAACGGGAAGACAAAAAAAAAAAGGTTCCATAAATTACTAAAAACCACACTGAAAACAAAGCACGATGGATACCAACAAAGGGACAGGACATTAACAGCTGAGAAACTGCAGAATTATTTAATTTTTTTTTTGTTGTTTGTTTTTTTGGTTTTTTCTCTGGTACCGGGAACCGAACTCACCGAACTCACGACCTTGCGCTTGCCAGGCAGGTGCTTTGCTGCTGAGCTAAATCCCCAGCCCCCAGAAATATTTAAATAAAATCACAAAACCATTTCCAACTCAACTTTACTCCAGTAAAAATTAATGTCTACTATTCCTAGTTCAAAAGGTAAGATATTGCAAGCATTCTGGAACAAAGTTACTATGCTAAGAATTCACATTTCATCTTTAACACTACCTAAAATGTTCAGTGATCCATCCTAACTCTATCTTTCAAGGCATAGTAGAGCAGAACCATTTATTTACTTGAGTGACACTCTCTGCAAAAACATCCCTGTGTACCCAAACACTAAGGGAATACACAAAACCATTGATTTTTTCTTAACTCTAGGCCAAGCAGCACAAAATCTTTTATTATTTTTTAATCACTGGAGTAATAAAGTTCTAGTTTGCCCAAAACCAAAATCAGATGTATGAAACAGAAGACAGCAAATATTTCCACTCCTCAGTTAAACTTTACTCAACTTTTTCTAGCTATAAACCAATAATGCCTTTTGTTTTAGGGGGTCTTTTCAGGGGTACTGGGGGTTGAACCTTCATATTAAGGTACATTCCCAGTTCATTATTTTATGTTTTGTTTGAGACAGGGTCTCTCTAAATTGCTAAGTTTCTTAGGCTGGACTTGAACTTGTGATTCTCCTGCCTCAGCCTCTCAGAGTTCTGGGATTATAGGCATGAGCCACCACCCTCAGAAAGCCTTGCTTTTCAATAAGCTCTAAACTGCACTCTCCAATAGTACCATGAGGCATGTGTGACTAGTGAGCACCTGAAACACAGCTAATAATAATTGACTACGTGGGTCATAAACGTAAAATACACACCAGGTTTTGAAGATGTATTGTAAAAAAAAGTAAAATAGCTCACTGATTTTTTAAACTACAGACCATATGTTGGAATGGTAATATTCTGGATATTTTGGGCTAAATACAATATATTAAAACTAATTTTACTTGCTTCTATGTTACTGTAGCTATGAGAAAATTTTAAACTGTGTAGCTCACACATATGAAAAAAAGTTGGGCTACTTCTACTGGACAGAGCTGTCCTAGGGGAATATTAACATTCTTCATACATAAAGAAATAACATTTAACTTCGTTCCAAGCACTCCACCACTTCCTGAGCTCCCCGGGAAGAGGAAACCACCTGGGAAGGACGCAGGGTCAGGACTTACTGTAAAGAAGTCATTCCCGTTAACCATTCTTGCAGAGTAAAATAACCCATGTTTTGTGCATCCAATTTCCAAGCTAGGACAAGCATAACTACCTGTTTAAAAAAAAAAAAAAAGGAAAAGACAAATAGAATCTCAGCAATTAAATACACCAACATCTACAAATGTTTCTATTCTCAACAACAGTTTAGTCACTGAAATATGAAGAGAGTACCTTCAAAATTGAGCTCCAGTTTGGCAAATACCTAAAAAGTTTGAGAATGCACTCTGCTGAACTGGGTTTGGAAAAACATGCGTTTTCTGGCTACACAGTCACGGCATGAAAGTAATCTATCAAAATTAAAACCAGTTATTCACTCACCAATTCCACCTAGAGAAAGCTATCTCATAGCTACACTCACACACATATTGTGAAACTATACTGTATACCCATTATTTATTGTGGTATATTTTTTAGTGGCAAAAGGCTGAAAACAACCAAATGCCTATAAATAAGGGTCTGGTTAAATACTTCTTTGCTAAACATATTCCAAATAAAGGAATACTGGGACACTGTTAACATAAATGAGCTAAAGCTATCTGTTCAAATATGGAATAATCTCCAATCTTCCACTAAGTGAAATGGCAAGGTACAAAGGATTGTTAACAAACAAAATGGTGGATGTTGGGAGATGCGCCCTGGGAGACATCCACACATACACTAATGCTTGTGGACTGAGCCACATCCACTGCAAGGGAAACCTTACTGGAGACTGAAACTGAACCCAGGGCTTCCACACTAAGCTACACCCAGCACTGCATAAGTCACTAAGCTGCCCAGGCTGAGTCTGAACTGATGACCCTCTTGGCTCAGTCTTCCAAAGCACTGGGAACACATGTATACACCACTGCATTTGCTTGGGAAATCACTTTACAGTAGCCTTTTGTCCCGCTTAAAACTGTGCGGAGCCTGGAACGAGCCATGACGAGTGGCATGGCCCGACCGCTTCTCAGCAGGGACCAGCCCTTCGGCGCCAGCCCTTCGGCGCCATCCCTTCGGCGCCATCCCTTCGGCGCCAGCCCTGCTTTTAGTGAATCTCCCGAAACCACAGGTGCCAGGAGCTGTGACAGTTCAGGTTTACGACACTGCTTCATCAGTATTTCACACAGCTGCTTTGGGAAAGGATGGCAAAGAGAATCAAAGGTGTGAGGATAAAATTACATTCCAAGCGTACACAACACTCCAAGCCATCCGAAGTCCCGCATACAACAGGGGTAAGGCCGTCCATAACCGGCTGAGGAGGAGGAAGTTGTCCTCATCCACCTCTACGACCCGAGAAAAGCCGAGTATAACTAAGAGATACAAGTACGTCAGTCCTGAAAGAGACAGGCCCCTCTCAGCACCACCCGGGTGCTCTGCAGGCCACATGGAAGGCACAATCAAACCCTAGCCCGGGGTCCGTCACACACTGTCAGTGGACACTCCCCACCTGTTGTAACAGAAACAGGCACTGAGTAGAAATACACGTCTCTGTGACACCACTAACCACGGACCACAATACTCTTTGATGTGATCTCTTTACAGACAACTGAAGGCTTCTGCTCAATGACTGTAAGAACTACCCCAAACCATCTTCTGTGCGTCTAACCGGGTCAGATGATGGTGACAGAAAAAGGGATTAAGATGTTATAACAATTTAATGAAGCAAGAATCACTCAGAAAAGCATTTCTGGATGATTTAATGAGCTTCTGAAGGCCTGCCTGTACTTTAAAAACCCCAAGAGTATTCAGGAAATTTTGAAGGTCGGTTCTTTTATCTGTTGGCCAACAAACTAGTTTGTAAACTAAACGTTTGAAAACTAGAAGACTGATTAAAGCTTTCTCCTAATGCTGACTTTATGATTTTCTCACTTTGGAAATTATTATCCCTGAGAACCTATTAAATTTCTAGGACTTTTCAGCAAATAAACTGGCACACAATTTTTTTACATTAACTCTTTTTTTGAATTTAAACAAATTTAAATTATTAGGCTGATTACTTGGGCTGATTAGTAATGACTGGCGAACAGGTTAAAAACGGTCATAATAGGCAACTAAGAAGAATTTCTCCGAAAAAGAGATGACATGTTCTGTGAAGTATTCACACGAGTGGATTTTCCCCTCAGCCCTCAGGGTTACTGGAACACTGGCTCCTACACATCAGCTCACCCAGGTGAACTAATACCTCTTCTCACACAAATGATGCCGTGCTCATCTCTCTTCAGCCCTCTGCTAGAAAGATTTAAAATCCCACATAAAAATTTAAGCTTAAAAAAAAAAAGGGTAAGGGCCCAAGAATACACACAGGTAAGTGAAATATGGCTAAGTAGCCAAAGCAGCTAGTCATACCAGGAAACAATCTATACATGAAATAATTAACTAATAAGGAAGCTAAAAAATAACAGATTTTGCCTTTATCATGGTAAAGCAGACTTGAATTTTATCAGCTGCTTAAGTTTCATAAGCTATGAATATCAGGTGAGGTGAGAGTTTTAAATATTTCCAAAATGCAATTCAGACAAAAAAAGAGATGATATAAAATAATACAGTTGCTGGGTGTGGTGGCTCACACCTATAATCCCAGCACTCAGCAGGCTGAGGCAGGAGGGTCATTTGTTACAAGTTCAAGACCATCCTGGGCTACAAAGTGAGCTCAAGACCAGCCTAAACTGCATAGTGAGACCTTGCCTCAAAAAAACAGATAGATAGACAGATAAATAAATAAAATAATATAAATACAACTTCCATTGGTGACATCTTAGGATCAAGTTCAGCAGTGCATACTTAGAACAACATTGTGAATGTGGTCTTAAGTCTTCAGCACCATTTCACACTGTGTCTATGTCTACAGAACAGAGTCTGAAGGACTCTCAATTGGCACAAAAGGATGATAACAAAAGCTCTCTTTTTATTTAGTACTGCCAGTAGGGGTGACACACTTCGAAAAGCTGTGCCTACCATTCCTACATGGTCAGCAATCCCCTAAGACAGGTGTTCTGCCTCTGAGACTACATGTTCAGCTAAAGCCTCACACACCCACAGTTTAACTCTAGCAACCCAACCTTATCTGACTTTGGGCCTGGGCCCTGCCGCCTGCTCCTCTGAACACGTCTATTGCTGTCTTCTGGGTGGACTCCCTAGATCTACCATCAGACACAACTCACACTCTCACCTTCTGACAACACTGCTAGACAATCCTGCCAAGCCTACCCCAGACCCCAGCAGAAAACCTCCCTCTGGAAAGTCAGTGAAATGGTCCTTTCCTATGTCCACGGACTAGACAGTCCTTCTAGATCTGGCCCCATTTCCCCAAATTTTTACACTAAGGTAAATGATGAAGACACATGAACTGGGACCCATTAAAATGAAATGTACAAAACATGTAGTGAGTGAAAGACATCCCAACACACTTGTGGGGGCAAAGTAAGGACAGTGGTGGATGCCCTAAGTGCACAAATGCTAGGAGTAAAATGTTCCAAGGAATACTCATGAGGTCTCAATTCTCAGTTTTATTTGAAAGTGTAACATATCTGCAGGGACAGCAGGTGTCTCAGAAAGTCTAAATATAGTGCGTGTTCTCTTCCACGTGACAAATTTGAGGACCTAGGATACAGCTGCTAAATTGGAAGCTAATGTAAAATCACACTATATCATTTATGAGCCAGGGCACATATATGAGAATAATTTCTCATTCTGGTATGAGAGATTATGTGGGAACAGTACATGATGCTAAAAATTAGAAAAAAATAAGTAAATAACTCTAATATTTAACAACTACCTAGTGATTTTACACTAAAAAAATCACTTTTTGAGCTGTTTTAACTGTGAAAAATTTGTTATTATCTACTCAAAACCTTCATAAATGATTTTTCAAAGTCTAAGACTAATTCTACATTAAACTGAAACAACTATTAAGAGAGACAAAGACACACAGCACACATGGACTTGGCCCTGCAACTGACCTGTCACTGTAGTTGCATGTGATGATAGTTAACACCATTCTACTTATAAGAAAAAAATACACTTACAAATCAAACCAGAATTTGAACTTAATTCTTAGGTGGACTCATAAATACAAATATATTATTTCTTTATTAGTGCTTTATTTGTGACAGGACAAAAGATTTAAGAAAAATAACTGACTGACCCTACTCCGTAAGTCAGACTTACGTTCTCAGGTTCTACACCAATGTCTTCACAAAATTTCTCCATTCCTTCAGGACCTACAACATCTTCAGTACCTATAATGAGATATTATATAAATTAAATGTGACCGTGTATAGCATTACTACTGTAGTAGTTTATACTACCATCAAAGAAGATTTAATGGTCATAATTCCTTTGGGAAGAAAGAAATCAAACAGTAACTTAAAAATATTCTTGAATTTCAATTACACCTTTTTTGTTTTTGTTTTTGGTTTTTCTCCGGTACCAGGAACCAAACTCATGACCTTGCGCTTGCCAGGCAGGCGCTTTGCCGCTGAGCTAAATCCCCAGCCCCTTCAATTACATCTTTAAAGAATTCTACTGTGTACAATCATTTAAATGGAACACTGTTCCCATCATCCTCACCTAAGGATACGTGGGGAATCAAGGGATGAGGGAGGGAGGCAGGGAGACGGGTGAGAAGGTATTAGGATGTGCTGTGCACGTGCACCACCTCCACACAGGAAATGGAACGTTACATACTGCAGCCATGTACTAGTGGAAAAAAGCAGTTAAAATGCCAAAACAAACAAAACAAGACTTCAATTTCTGTTCTTTAAAGTAACTTTACAACTTCTGCACATGCCTGTAATCCCAGCACTTGAGAGGCTGAAGCAGGAGCATCATTGCGAATTTGAGACCAGCCTGGGCTACAAAGTGAGCTCAAGGCCAGTCTGGACTACGTAGTTAGTCTAGACAAAAACACAAAACAAACAAAAAAGACTTCTGCTCTTGAACACTGGCCCCCAGCACAAAGCCCGTGCAATCCACATGCGTGGAAAGAGAGCGGCCAAACTACTAAATCCTACCCAACTCTACTGGAAAGAGAGCGGCCAACTACTAAATCCTACCCAACTCTACTGCTGGATGCTGCACAACACAGGGCAGCAGAAGTGACCTGCCCGAGAGAAGAGTTCCGCTTCAGAGCTGCGGTATCACCCTGTCACAGAGACCACCGACGGGCTCAGGAGGGTGAGAGTGACCCGGGGACTTCCTGGGGTCACGGGGAGGACTGGCTCAGGCGAGGAGATCTGTATACTGTGGTGGGAGGCCAGACTTGGTGGGTACAACCTTTAAAAGGGGTGGGCTGAATGAGATGGCATTTAGTCCAGAGGCACGCCTGCACTGTTGCACAGCTGCCCACATGAAGCAGAAATCTGCGCTATGAATTATTATAGGTTAGCATCAGGGTGGCCTAAGCGTCCTCACTAAAATCATGGAGGTCTTTGCTCTGGCTAAGGCCAGTTCATGAGTGACTCTTAGGGTCTGTCAGTATTCGGTTGACATTTGACACCATTATCATTGCTGACTTCACTACTCTAGCCAAGGCGACATAGCTGTTTTGTCAACTGGTTTTCTCTGTATGCCAATATCTGGATTGTCTGGGGTTCATCAATAAAACTATGGCTCACTCCCAAGAGCCCACAAAACCCAGCAAAAAAACCAAAACATAGGAACATGAAAAGACAAGGAAGCAAAATGCATCCAAAACTTCCAACTCTCCCACACTGGTTCAGGCAGCATCAAGGGGGAGGAAATCATAGCCACACAGCGAAGTCTGAAAATATACCAATGGAGATAAAACATAAGGTGCCTTGTAAATCTAAAGAAGATATCACTGGGGGCTGGGGATTTAGCTCAGCGGCACAGCACCTGCCTGGCAAGCACAAGGTCGTGAGTTCTATTCCCAGTACTGGGGGGGAAAAAAAAAAAAAGGTATCACTAGTCAGATAATGACCCTAATGAAACAGTGAGTCTAGAAGACACTACAAAAAATCTAATGGCCCTAAGGAAAGAAATCCAAAACATGGATGCCTATCTTAGAAAAGAATGAGTCCTTAAAAATGTTCTACACAGAAATCTGAGATATTAAAATTATGACAAAGTATAGGCAGCAGAAGTGACCAATGTGAAGGTAGTGTCAGATGTAGCAGACAGGGCTGTCGTTAGTGATCAATAATGAGATTACCTTAAAAATAAAAGAACATAAAGAATGCATCCAGAGCTGCTAAATGACTCAAAGAAGACTAATGTAAGAATAACTGGAATTAATGAAAAATTAGAAGACAGCACAAAGGGCATAAAAGCCCTGTTTACAGAATAGCAGAGAACCTTCCAGACATGGAAAAAAGAATTCAACATATAGTTAAGTGACACATATAGAACCGCAAATAGCCAAGACTGGGGAAAAAAAAAATCACTCCATGCCACATAATAATTAAAATACCAGAAATCCAACACAAGAACAGAATGTTAAAGGCAGCTAGAGGAAGGCAATGAATCACATGTAAAGGAAAACCCATAAAAATTAAAAGAGACTTCTTAACACAGACCTTAAAAGCAAGAAGGGTTTGGAATGAAGTAGTTCAACCTCTAAAAGAAAACAACTTCCAACCCAAACTGTTATATCCTGCTCAGTGTTAAAGAGAACCTAAAGAAATTCACAACCACCACTGCCAACACTCCAAACGATTCTCAAGGATGTTCTTAGGAGACAATAAAGCTAACAATGACAAAAGGTCCAATACAATGAATGTATCAGGTAGGGTTAGCAATTAAGCAAAAGGGAAACAGAGCAAAACAGCACCTGGAAAATAATACAGTGACAGGATTAAGTCAATACCTATCAATTACAGCTCCCAAAATCCAGCAGTATGCTGTATATAGGAAACACATTTAATACCAAAAGAAATTCACAGTAAAAAAATCAAAAGATGGAAAACAGTATTCCATGAAATGGGAACCTGGAAATAAGATTAGCTATCCTATTTTCAGACAGCATGGACTTCAAAGCTGATCAAAAGAGGCAAAAAAGAACATTAGATATTGGTCAATGGAACCATTCAACAGCAAGACATAACAATTATAAACACATATTCACCAAACCACAGTGAAAACTACATTAAAAAAATACTAGTAATACTAGTAAGACATAAAAGACCAGATAAACATCAATACCATCAACGTTAAGTGCCCACTAACACAAATACACCAACTGAACAAAAAAACCCAACAAATGAATTGAACCAAACCTCTCAACAAACAGACTTCACAGGTATCTACAGAGTGTTCCACCCAACAACAGATAAACACTCTTTCCTGCAGCACACGGAACCTTCTCCAAGATAGAGCACATCCTAGCACACGCTAGGCCTATGTAACTGCAAGAACAATCCAAATCCAGAGCTCACACAAGGACGGAAATTACAAAGATCAGAACAGAAATCAATGAAATGGAGACTGAAACAACACCACCACAAAGAAGCAGTGAATCCAAGAGCGGGTCTGTTGGAAGAAAAAACCTTATAAAAAAAACAAGAAAGAAGACGTAAACCAATGTAATTAGAAAAAGGTGAAATCACAACAAACACTGCCAAAATCCAGAGAATTCTTAGCTATTACTTCACAAACATATGCCAAAAAAGTGGAGAACTCAGAAGAAATGGAGATTCCTAGATACATATAAATTAGCAATTACTCCTTTTAACCGAGAAGTAAAGATCTGAACAATCCAGTAATGGCAAAGAAACTGAAGCAGTAATAAAAACACTACTTAAGAAAAAAAGAGAAGTCCAGGACCTGATGCATTCACAGCCGAATTCTACAAGAACTTCAGGGAAGATCTACCACCAACACTCCTCAAACTCTAATGTAATCGAGAGGGAAGGAGTACTTCCAGAATCATTCTTGGAAGCTAACATTATCCTGATCCCTAAACCAAAGACCCAGTCAACAGAGAGAACTACAGGCCAGCCTCTCTACTAAGCACAGATGCAAAATCCTTAACAAGATACTGGCAAACAGAATGCAACAAATCATCAAAAAGATCACCCACCACAACCAAGTAGCCTTTCTTCCAGGGAAGCAAGAAAGCTTCAACATACACCAATCAATAAATGCAATTCATCACATAAACAGAAGCTAGGACAAAGAAAAAAAAAACCAATCATCTCAATAGATTAAAAAAAGTCTTTGATAAAATACAAAATCCATCCTGACAGATCCTGAAGAAAATAGGTATAGAAGGACCTAATCATAATCTGATAAAAGCCGTTTACAGTCAACTTCTGCCAGCATATTAAGTGGGAGAAAAATGGAAAACCTTCCCTCTAAAGTCAGGAACAAGAAAGATGCCTGTTATCACCTCTCATTCCTGGTTAACACAGTCTTCTAAACACAAGCCAGAGTAATCAAGCAACTAAAAGGAATACAAAGGATATGAAGCCGGCATGGTGGCTTATGCCTGTAATCCCAGCACTCGGAAGGCTGAGGCAGGAGGATTGCTGCAAGTTCGACGCCAGCCTCGGCTAACAAAGTCAGTTCAATCAAGACCAGCCTGAAATGCATAGTGAAATACTGTCTCAAAAGAAAAGACAAAAAAAAAAAGGATACCAATAGGAAAGGACAAAGATGAAGTATCACTATTTGCAGATGACATGACCTTTTACTTATAAGACCAAAAAAACTCCACCGAAAGAGTCCTAGAATAAGCAAATTCAGCAATGTAGCAGGATATGAAATAAACACAGAAATCAACAGCATTCATATACATTAATAATGAACTCACTGAAAAGTAAACTAGGAAAACAGTATCATTCATAATAGCATCAAAAAAATTAAATACTTTGGAGTTAACCTAATCAGGGATGTGAAAGACCTCTACAACGAAAATTACTTTACTCTGAAAAAGAAAATTGAGGACATCAGAAAATGGAAAGATAGCCCTTGTTCCTGGATATGCAGTATAAATATAAACAAAGTTGCTACATTTTCAAAACTGATAAATGAAAAAACAATCCTAAAAGTTCATATGGAGCAAGAGATTTAGAATAGCAAAAGTAATCCTGGGTAACAAAAGCAAAGCACATAGCATCACAATCCCAGACTTGAAGTTATACTGTGAAGTATGATACTTAAAACAGCATGGTACTGGCACAAAAACAGGCATGTACACCAGTGGAACAGAACAGAAGAAGCAGAAACAACCCCAAGCACATATAGTTATTTGATCTTTGATAAAGGAGCCAAAAGCATA